GGGCACTGTCCCTCAGCTCTTCAGCTCAAGGCTAGCGCTCTACCACTTGAGCCACAGCGCCACTTCCGGCTTTTTTCTTTTTGCTTATGTGGTGTTGAGGAATCGAACCCAGGGCCTTGAGCATGCAAGGCAAGCTCTCTACCACTGAGCCACCTTCCCAGCCCTCCCTGAGCTTCTTTTGCTAAAGGCTAGAAACCACTTGAGCCACAGCTCCACTTCCAGCTTTTTCTGTTTATGTGATACAGAGAGGACTTCATGCATGGTAGGCAAGCATTCTACCACTAAGCTACATCCCAGCCCCCTAGACATTTAAAAAATTTTCAATTTTATTAATTTTCTTTTCTGGTGGTCCTGAACTCAGGGTCTCATGCTTATTAGGCAAGTGCTCTACCACTTGGGTCCCACCTACAGTCGCAGCTTTAGATATTTTTGCCACAATTTTCAAAGTTCAGGTTACAAATCAGTGGGTCATGAAATTAATTTAGTGCATTCTGATTAGCATTCTTAAAATGAAAAAAGTAAAAGGGAAAATATCAAAGCATATTAAATGCAATAGATAAACTTTCTTGCTTAGTGAACTCCAGTCTTATGGTTTAAAATGCTAAATACAACCAACACATTTGTATCTCTACCATAGGTCTCTTTTGTGAATCCCAAGTTCATTTGGACATCTCTATATGGATGTCTACTAACACCAGAAACTGAAATATGAAGGTTTGATCTTCCTTCCCAAGCCTCCCAAATGATGATGAGATTGTCCTTTTACCTTTTATTTTGTATGGTCCAAATCCCTTTTTATTCACATTCTAACACTGCACATCCCATTTCAGGAACTGCTATTAAATCAACCTCAGAATCTAAGTGCTTCTCTCCATCCTTTCTTCCCACTCTGGCCTAACTTCTCACCTGTCTACTAGGTTGCAATCTAAAATGTATTCCTCATTAAGAAATGTAGAGTTTAAAAATTACTGGAATTAGATTATATCACTTCTAATAACTCTTCCAAATTTAAGCACTTAGGAATTTTAGTGCACAGCTAGAAAATCTCTGCTATATCCCTTGAGAAACAGCAAGGCTCACAGCCTTGTGACTGCAGCAAGGCGCTGATTGTTTAAAATTTTGGGGGGCTTTTAACTTATGCTGTATCATTTGAGTTCTGCCGTTAAATCATCTTGTTTCTGTCTCCCCAGTAGCTAGAATTACAGGCATGAATTATAGTGTTTGGCTGACACTGAATTACTGAAATGTAACACAGAAGCCTAAAAAGCAAACATCATTTATACCTCTTTTATAATCATTGGCTAGGAAAAAACAAAACAAAACTGTAAAGACAGCAAAAACTGCTACATGCCTCAAATATAAGTGTCTGAATTGTCTTTGCATCAAAAAGAGATACAACTTCAGAGCAAATGACAAAAGAAGACATTTTGTAGATCAAAATTTCCCTGGCTAAAGCTCCCATTCACTTACTGAAGAAGGGAAGAGGAGTGAAGAAAGATATCACTCAAAGTTTCTGCTGTAGAAATTGTGACGCGCACAGCCTTTGGGAGTAAAGACCACTTCTGAAGTATGTAGGATTTCCATTCATCCACAGGCAGATCCATGCTACTTTAAATCTATAAAGTAAGAAAATAGGAATTTACATTTCTACAAATGCACAATTTTAGAAGACTGAGACCTCAGCCAAGCAAACATGAAGCAACAAAACTGATTCTTGTGGTACTTTCCTATAGTTCTATGCTGAAGAAAGGTCTAGATTGTCATACCAATGCATTCACTCAACATCCTGTTATTCTGAAGTACTTATTGAAAACCTTTGTTCCAGAACGAAGTTAGGTTGGTGCTCATACAAACAGGAACCAGTTTACAAGGGTTGGAGGAGTGGCTCAGTTGGTAGAGTGCTAGCCAATGAGCAAGTTTTCCCAGTTCCATTCCAGTCCTTCTAGCCTTCCATCTTCCCTCCTTGCTCAAATTTTTTAGTGTGTGTGTGTGAGAGAGAGACAGAGAGAGAGAGAGAGACAGAGAGATTACAGAGAGAGACAGAGAGACAGAGAGAGCCACAGGCAGGCAGACAGAGACACAGACAGACAGAGACAGTTTTGGAGCTTGAACTCAGGGCTTGGGTGTTATTCCTGAGCTTTTCTGCTGAAGGCTGGTACTACAGCTCCACTGGTTAACCAGAGATAAAAAGTCTTACAGACTTTTCCGACCAGACTATATTTGAACCTTGATCCTGAGATTTCAGCCTTCTGAGTAGATGTGAGCCACCAATGCCTGGCTCATTTCTTATTTTTTTGAACTCAGAGATTTTGTATTTACTAGGCAAGCACTTCAACACTTGAGTTACAACTTAGCTCCAACCCCAGCAACTATTAAGTTAAATATTTCCACCTGCTTCAATCTTGTCATTGTTTCAGTTCAAGACTTTCCCAGCTCCTGTCTGGCATTTTCTTTCTTTCTTCCCTTTTTTTTTTTTTTTTTTGGGTCCGGTCGTGGGGTCTGAACTCTAGGCCTGGGCGCTGTCCCTCAGCTCTTCAGCTCAAGGCTAGCACTCTACCACTTGAGCAATAGCACCACTTCCGGCTTTTTTTTTCCTGCTTATGTGGTGCTGAGGAATCAAACCGAGGGCCTCATGCATGCAAGGCAAGAGCTCTACCACTGAGCCACCTTCTCAGCTCCTGGCATTCTTTCTAGAGTGTTCTACTAGTGTCCAGGGCCTCAACCCTCCATCTTAACTTCATCAAAGCTCTTCCCAGCAAATAAGAGTAGCCCAGGACAAACCCATTACTACTTGCCCCTTGCTTACTTTCTATTATTTTCTTCTCTAAGGTCTTGGAAGTCAGGTTGCCAATTCTGAAAGTCCTCACCCTGTGTCCCTTACTTGTTTACAAAAATATGCTAAATTTCTATTTCCCCAATGCTAGGTTGTTTCCTTGGTATGATGCACAAAATACTGGCCCAGTTGCAACAGTCTCCTCAGAAGGAGGCTCCCCCGCAACTCCCAAAGCCCATGTAACATCTCCCGCACCCTAAGCGAGAATCATACCCCTACACCAACGAGCCGCGTAACACCTTGGAACTGACTCTGCCCCCGAATTTCCGCAGTCCACGTATGTGGCCCATGTGACTGTCACCTAAAATTGTGTTTAAATTCTGCCCACACCTGTCCACGGCTGTTGCTTCCTTTCCCGCTTAGAGCATCCCAGCAGGTCTGTCCCCCAATAAGGCCTTGACCCAAATCGATGGCTTGCCTCTCGTTTATTACACTTTCTCGGTATCCTACCATACTGAGTTCCTCAACGTTATTCCCAACTTGCCTCGCAATTTCAACTCGTGTGTGTGTGTGTTTTGCCCATCCTGTGGCTTGAACTCTGGGTTTGGGTGCTGTCCCTGGACTCCTTTAGGCTCAAGGCTAGCGCTCTACCACTTGAGCCACAGCGCCACTTCCAGATTTTTCTGTGATTAATTGGAGGTAGATTCTCACCTACTTTCCTGCCTGGGCTGTCTTCAAGCCGGGACCCTCAAATCTCAGCCTCTTGAATAGCTAGAATTACAGGCGTGAGCCACTGGCTCCGGCTTCTTTAGCGTTTTTGTATAGGCCATGCTTTTTCAGGACTATTCTTCCTATCCATTTAACTCAATTCAAATTGCATTTCCTCTGGGAAGCCTTCCCTGGTTTTCTGTCTGTGATTTCACCACGTGTGGGGTCCATATCACGTTTACCTAGAGTTTGGGATGCTCACCGCTCTAACTCCCGGGACAGACTGTGGCTTTCCTCTGAGCGCAGGGGCCGGGTCAGATTTATCTTCAGAAGACCCCCAGTGTCAAGCTTAGGGCCTGGCGCAGGCAGACCGAAGGCCTGCAGCGGGTGGAACCAGGTCACTGCTCTGATTATATTTAGCAGCAGAGTTATCAGGAACAGCGCCGACTGTCCTTTGGATTAACATTCTGTCCATCTGCCAAAGGCCTCGGCCAGAAACATCCGCGTAGAGCTAGCGCGCCGCTCCGAAGTCCCGCCTCTAGGCCCCGCCACTACGTGATGGCCGTCCCGCCACTAAGGCCTAAGGCGAATCACGTGGGCCTCCTGCCGCCTCTTGGCCAATTAGGAAGCTGCTCGGCGCATAGGCCCGCCCCCGTGCCGCGCACACGTCGCGGGGCGGGAGTGGCGCGCGCAGCTCCTTGGGCCAATAGCTGAGCAGCCCGCGGGACCCCGGTAGTGAAGCTGGGGCGGTGCCAGAGCTCGAGCGCGGGAGTTAGCGTGTCGCAGCCATGGTCGGCCAACTGAGTGAAGGGGCCATTGCGGTGAGAAAACGCCTGGGAGTCAAGGGGGGGAGACTGGTGGCATGGGCCTGCAGCCGTGCAGAGTGCAGAAGGAGGGACCCCGGCCAGTGGGGAGAGATCGCGGGTGGAGTGGGGATTGTGGGATGCTTTGAGGGAGCCGGTGGGGTGGTCGCTCCCATCATTACCCTCTCCTCAAGCCTTTTTCCTGTCCTCTAAAAACATGCTCACATTTCTTCCTCCTTAAGAACACAAAGCAAAAATAAAAGCCACGCATCACCTCTCGGTAGCCAATCTGTTGTTACCTCCCCTTCTGCCACCCACAGCCAAACTTTAGTCTAGAGTTGGTGTCTTCATTTCCTTACCTCCCTTTGGTTCTTTAGTCCTCTTCAAGCAAACATCCCATAGAACTTTGGCTCAGGTTACCAGTGGTTTCCAAGCCGTTAAATCCAACAGTTTTCAGTTTTCATCGATCCCAGATTCTCAGCAGTATCTGGCCTGTATCAGTGAGTGGATCATTGCTTCCTTCTGTTAAAACTGTCTTTAGGTTTTTGTGGCTCAGCTTGACTGGTCTCTCTCCACGTTTTACTTGCTAACCCCTATGCAAATTTTGTTGACTAAGTGCTCCCTTATTTAAGGCCCTCTTTTCCCCAGATAACTTCATTACTATGTAGATATCAGTGGCTTGCTAATTTCTTTGTGCTGAGCTACCTTTGCTCTTAAAGACAAGTTGCTACAAATCTGTTGGCCCGTTTGGTTCACAAGTATTAAATTCAGCATATCCCAAAGCAAACCTGCCATCCCCCTAAGTTTAGGCCTCTTGAAGTCCCCTCTTAGTGAATGACACTATGTTAAGTTATGCAGGCCAGAAACTGAGGCCAACATTCTTGCCTGCATTCATGTATCACTCTGAATGTGGAGTCCATCATCTGATGAAGAATATTTTATATCCACATAGATCATTTAAGTCCATGTACTTCTCTCTAGCCATTCTGGCACCATCATTCCTGCCTGGACTATTCACTTCCGCTCAGCCATTCCCTTCATAGGTATTCCCACTTCAATTCTCCTGGCCTTTTAAAAAAATTTTACATATTTCCAATATATTGCATAGTCTGTCCATGTGGCCTTTGATCAAACTTTTTTTCTTTCCTTTTTCCCCCTGTCTGTTTTCAGTATTGTGCACTTCTCCCTCACTGGCTAACATAATTTTCAAACTTAGCCCAGTTGTTCTGCCCAGGAGAAAGAAGTCTTTGACTTTCCTTGGTAGCCTCCCTTTGTTTTAGTTTCTGTTCACTTACTGTGTGTATAACTTTGGAGTAGATGCGAAACTGTTTTCCTCCTCTGTAAACTGAAGATGATAATTCATAGTACCTATTATATAAGGTTAGTGAATGGGTCAAGTTACTGGATTTAAAGTGCTTAGCCCACACTTGATGTGTTTAGAAAATGTTGAGTTCACGCTTCCTTTTGTTAATTATTACAGGTACTTAGCATTTATTTGTTGCTTATTTTCTTTCTGTCCCTCACTCACTGTAAAAACTCCCCTCCCAAGCGGGCGCTGGTGGCTCACGCCTGTAATCCTAGCTACTCAGGAAGCTGAGATCTGAGGATCGCGGTTCAAAGCCAGCCCGGGCAGGAGAGACCGTGAGACTCCTATCTCCAATAAACCACCAGAAAACCGGAAGTGGCACTGTAGCTCAAGTGGTAGAGCGCTCGCCTTGAGCTGAAGAGCTGAGGGACAGTGCCCAGGCTCAGAGTTCAAGCCCCACGACCGACAAAAAAACAAAACAAAACTCCCCTCCCAGCAATAACATCCTGAGGCATTTTTTTGGGGGGGGGCAGTACTGGCACTTGAACTTGGTCTTGCAGTCTCCTTTAGCTTTTTTTTTTTTCTCAAGGCTAGTGTTCTACCACTTGAGCTGCAGCTCCACTTCCAGCCTTTTGGTGGCTAATTAGAGATAGGAGTTTCAGAGACTTTCCTGCCTGAGATGACTTTGAACCTTGATCCTCAGATCTCAGCCTCCTGAGTAGCTAGGATTAAAGGAATGAGTTATAGGGCACCTGCTCTGGGTTGTTTCTGCTTGCTTGCTTGCTCAGCATAGTATCCCCAGTACCTTGGAGCAATTCTGGTGAGCTTTTGGTACCCAATAAATGATTACTAGTTGCACAAATGAATGAAACGGGAGAGAAGAAGGGACAGAGATGGGTGGGGAAGAAAGGCAGCTGGGGGAAACAAGGGGAGGAACAATCAGAGTCAAGTAGATAATTGAATAAATGAGGAATCTATGAATGCTGGAGCCTGTTTTTTTTGGTTGTTTGTTTTGTTTTTAACTCAGGGCCTTGGTGCTGTCTCAGCTCTTTTGCTCAAGGCTAGTGCTCTACCATTTTGACCCACAGTGCCACTTCTAGTTTTTGAGTGGTTAATTGGAGATGAGTCTCATGGGGCCTTTTCTGCCTATACTGGCTTTGAATCGAAGTCCTAAGATCTCAGCCTCCCAAGTAGCTGGGGATTACAGGTGTGAGTCATTGGAACCTGACTAGCTGCCTAGTTTTAAGTTGTATTTCTTGTTTGCTTTATAGCTGCTGCCTTGCACCTTTAGGACAAATTAGGGGTAGTTTTTTGCTTTTATAAAAAAATGTTTATAAATAACTTGGTAAGTTTTCCTTAGGGCCTTGAGCAAGCTGAGGTTGCTTACTCAACTGTTGCTATACCAATTGAGCCATACTTCGAGCCCAGAATTTTGCTGGTTAATTGGAGATAGAGTCTTGGGGACTTTTAGGTATTGACTGGCTTCAGACTTTGAACCTCCATATTTCAGCCTCCTGAATGGCTAGGATTACAGTTATGAGCCACTAGTATTTGGCTATTCAAAATTTTAGAAACCCATTTCCAACGTTAGGTGAAATATTACTGGTGTTTTGTCAGTGAACTTTTTACACATATCTTTTTTTTTTTTTGGCGGTTGTGGGGCTTGAACTCTGGGCCTGGGCGCTTGTCCCTCAGCTCTTCAGCTCAAGGCGAGTGCTCTACCACTTGAGCTACAGCGCCACTTCCGGTTTTCTGGTGGTTTATTGGAGATAGGAGTCTCACGGTCTCTCCTGCCCGGGCTGGCTTTGAACCGCGATCCTCAGATCTCAGCCTCCTGAGTAGCTAGGATTACAGGCGTGAGCCACCGGCGCCCGGCTTTTACACATATCTTTAGCGATGGAGTAAGAGTGGGGAAACTTGGTTGACAGATTATCAACTAAAGCGAGTGTTACTTTAAATGAAAAGACCTTGGTCTCCAAGGGGAAGCAAATAGCACACAAATGGTGGAAGTGTTTGGGGCAAAAGTTGTCATCATAAAATGAAGTTATGCCTGGAACTATTATGATTGTAGAATAGATTATTTTTTGTGTTTGGGGTAGAACACAGGGCTTCATATTTATGTACCAGGCAAGTGCTGTACCACAGCTGCATATCCCCAGCCCAGCATTTATATCTAAGTAATTAAGTTACAGAAAGAAAGGAGAAGAGAACATCCATTTTCAATGCAATAGACACTTTAAGTAAGAAATTTATATATATATATATTTTTTTATATATAGCCATTTTCAATGTGGTAGATACTTTAAGTACTTAAGAAATCTTAGGAAGTTTATTTTGCCAATATCCACATTTTATAATGGAAGATGTTATAGGAGAAAAGATAAATAACTTGTTCATGGGAGGATTTAAACTCATAAGCCCTATTGCATTCTGTTGCTTTATGTTTTATTAGCAATGAGATTTGTAAAAATTTAGTCAAAAAGGCCCTTGTATCTAAGTGTGCATATCATGTTATATGTCCCCCCAAAAGAATCATAATCACTATATATGATAACACATTAAATTAAAAATAACAATAATGTAATGCATGCATATGGTTTTTGAATCAAGTTGAACAGAAAGCTATTTAATGAAGTTATTACCCCATCTTGCCCAGTTCTGTTCCCCAGACATAAATGAAAAATAAGTTATATGTTGTGACACAAATCTGAGGCAGAAAGACTGAGTTCCAGGCCAGCTGGGCTACAGGCTAGCAATACCCTATCTTGGAGAGAGGTAGGGAAGAAGAGAGAAAGTGAGGAAAAGGAGAAAAGAACAAGAATCTATGGTGGGTTTTTGTTTGTTTGTTTGTTTTGTTATAGTAGTATCACTTTGTTACTCAGTGGCTTTGAACTCTTCAGTCTAAATTGATCCTCCTACCTTACCCTTCAGGGTTGCTCGTACTACAGGTGCACATCACCATGCCTTGCTCTAACTTCTTTCATCAAATGAAAATTTCATTCTCTAGTTCTATTTTGTTGTTACAGTTGTTCTTGGCTCTTCTAGGAGTTGAGCTTCATGCTTGTTAGTTAGGTTTTAGTTGTTTATTCAAATAGATTCTTGAATTTTTGGCACGGCTGTCCTGCACTATGATCCATCATCCTATTTATGTTTTATCAAGTAACTGGGATGACAGGTGTGAGCTACTATGTTCAGCTATTGGTTGAGGTTGCAATAGGGATCTCATTAACTCCCTCCTCTCCCCCTTGCTGGTTCTCCTCCCTTGAATTACTGTCTTCCTTATTGCCTCCTTAGTAGCTAAGATTACAGATATGCGTCATCTTACCTAACTTAATCTCCAGTTTGTTCGTGTGTGTGTGTGTGTGTGTGTGTGTGTGTGTGTGTGTGTTGAACTCATTGCCTGTGTACTGTCACTGAGCTTTTGTGTTCAAGGTTAGTGATGTACTATTAGAGCCATAGCTCACTCCACATTGTTGTTTTTTTTTTTTTTTTGTCGGTAGTGGGGCTTGAACTCTGGGCCTGGATGTTGTCCCTGTCCCTCAGCTCTTCAGCTCAAGGCAAGCGCTCTACCACTTAAGCCACAGCACCACTTCTGGTTTTCTAGTGGTTTATTGGGGATAGGAGTCTCACGCGCTTTTCCTGCCTAGGCTGGCTTTGAACTTAGATCCTTAGATCTCAGCCTCCTGAGTAATTAGGATTATAGGTGTGAGCCACCAGCATCTAGCTTCCAGTTCTTCATTGTTATTATATAGAAATATAGGCTATGTACTAGGATAATGTCTCAAAATTAAACAAAATTGATTTATGTTTTTACTAATGAGCTGTAAGAATTCTTGATCCTGAACGTTATTTGTTAAATATTTGTGTGTGTGTGTGTGTATATATATGTATGTGTGTATGTGTATGTATATTCCCAGTTTGTTTTCTGATTTTTTTAATGATTTTTTTTTCTTTGGCAGCATTGAAGTTTGAACTTAGAATATTATGCAGTTACCTAGAATCTAGGCAGTTACCACTGAGCCACATCTCCAACCCTGTTTTGCATTGGTTCTTCTTTTTTCTTTCTTTCTTTTCTTTTTTTACAAATCCTGGGGCTTAAACTCAGGGCATGGGCACTGTCTCTGAGCTTCTTTTGCTCAAGGCTAGCACTCTACCGCTTGAGCCACAGTGCCACTTCTAGCCTTTTCTGCTTATGTGGTACTGAGGAATTGAACCTGGGGCTTCATGCATGCTAGGCAAGCACTAAGCCACATTCCCAGCCCTTTCCTTAACTTTTAATTGTTATTATAAAGGTGTTTTACAAAGGGGTTACATTTGCAGAATTCAGATAATGAGTTAATTTCTTTTGGGGCAATGTTGCACTGTTTTTATTTTGTTTTGTTCTTTTTTTTGTCAGTCGTGAGTCTTGAACTCTGGGCCTGGGTGCTATCCTTCAGTTCTTCAGCTCAAGGCTAGTGCTCTGCCACTTGAGCCACAGTGCCACTTCCATCCACTGGTTATTTTTGAAATAGGGTATCTTGCTTCCTTCCCAAGTACTTGCCTGGATCTTTTTTTTGGGGGGGGGGTCCGGTTGTGCGGCCTGAACTTTGGGCCTGGGTGCTGTCCCTCACTTGAGCCACAGCGCCACTTCTGGCTTTTTTCTTTTTGCTTATGTGGTGCTGAG